GTTCAGATTTCTCTCAGCAGAGACGAGGTTTTTCCTTCGGTGGAACTTCATGCAGACAGGGTGTCCGTGAATCAGTCTGTCTCCCTGCTGCCCTTGCTCCGTTTTTGTTGTTGTTGGCTCGTGTCAGTTGATTGTTGGAATTACCCAGCCCCCACTGCATGAACATTAGCGTCTCTGGTCTGGGGCTGTCATCCATCAGGCGTCTGCAAGCACTTGGCCGCGGTCAGTTGGGAGCGTTGAGTTTGTCCGTCGGGGGGGGGGGGGGACGTCTCGGGTGCGGGTTCGCCGTGGCCGTGCCACTCCGCACAGGCCTGTGTGAGAGCGCTTCCTGTCTTTGATTTCGCCCGCTCTGGTGGGCGCAGGGTGGTGTCATGGCTTGTATCTGTGTTCCTGGTGACTGTGGCCGAGCCCGTTTCGGATCCGTGCTGTCCATGTGTAGATCTTCGTTTGCAAGGTACGCGGCCTTTTGCATATTTCTTAGTTGGACTCTTTCCGCTGGGAGCCAGGAGCTGTTTGCAGATTATAGACCGAGTCCTCAGCAGAGGGATGTATTTTGGTGTTTTCGCTCGGTCTGTTACTTTGTGTTCCTTTTCCTAAGAACAAAAGTTTACAATTTTGGGCAAGTCCAATGTCTCTTTTCTGGGTGGGGAAGTGGGATGTTCTCCATCCCACTCGAAGGTTGGGAAGATCATCTGGCGTTCTCTTCTAAAGCATTATGGCTTCAGATGTATTTTGGTGTGTGACCCATCTTCAGCAAGTGCTTGCGGGAAGAAGGAGGTAGCGATCGAGCTACATTCCTGTCTGATGTGGGCCTCCAGCCCTTCTGCCCTTACCTGATTGTTTAGAAGATTGGGAGTCTCCCACTCAAACGCTTTGGCCCCTTTGTAGACCGTTAATTGATGTGCACCCGTGGACTTCATTTAGGAACCATTCTGTTGCATTGAGTATTTGCATGTCTGTTTTTATTACTATAGCTTTGAGTATCACAATCACAAGTGGTGTAAATGTTCCAAGTCGTTCTTATTCTTTTATTGTTTTTTAAAGGTTTTATTTATTTATTTATTTATTTATTTACTTATTTATTTATTTATCTGACAGAGATCACAAGTAGGCAGAGAGGCAGGCAGAGAGAGAGGGAGAAGCAGTCTCCCTGCTGAGCAGAGAGCCGGACTCGGACTCGGGGCTTAATCCTAGGACCCTGAGATCATGACCTGTGCCGAAAGCAGAGGCTTAACCCACTGAGCCACCCAGGTGCCCCCAAATCGTTTTTATTCTTAAAGATGATTTCTTTAGCTCTTTTAGCTACCCTGGGACCTCTGTATTGTTTTTTTAAGATTTTTTATTCGTTTAAGAGAATGAGCAAGAGCATGGGGAGGGGGGAGGGGCAAGGGCAGGTGAGGAGCAGAATCCCTGCTGAGCAGGGAGTCCCAGTTCAGGACCCCAGCCAGAAAGCAGACGCTCACCTGTGAGCCACCCAGGCACCCAAGGGCCTTTGTATATATATATATTTTTTTTTAACAGAGATCACAAGTAGGCAGAGAGGCAGGCAGAGAGAGGGCAAAGCAGGCTCCCCACTGAGCAGAGAGCCCCATGTGGGGCCTGATCCCAGGACCCTGAGATCACGACCCGAGCTGAAGGCGGAGGCTTTAACCTACTGAGCCACCCAGGCGCCCTGGGCCTTTGTATTTTTATATGTTTTAGAAAGAGCATATACATACTTAACAACAACAAAAAGCTGGTGGGATTTTTTTTTTAACTTTTTAAAATCAACTTTGTTGAAATGTAATTCACATATCATAAAATGCTCTCATTTTAAGGGATCCATGATTTTTGATGAATGTCTGTGCCCCTATAATTACCACCACAATCAAAGTGTAAAGAACACCTTCATTTCCCCCAAAACTTCCCGTTGCCTCTCTGAAGTCTACCCCACCCTGCTCTGGTCCTATTCTAGAATTTCCTATAGTTGCAACCCTACCGTGTGCACTTTGCTACCTCACAATTTAAAAATATATGTTAAGCCAAAGACGCCAGGTAGACTCTCACACGTACAGGAGAGCTGCAGGACAAAGCCTTGCTTCTCTGAACAGGGTGGGATCACCGGCTCGACCCTCCATCGTCCCTGCAAGGATGTTCTCCTGTGTGACCACAGCGGATTGTGCGGCTCTGCTCCCGTAGACCCAGTGCGGCGTTTGCCTTCATCTAGCCCCGCTCACTGGAGCCTGTGGGTCCAGCCTGGCTTTCTGTTCCATTCAGCGGTCCTGTCTTCAGTCATCTTCAAGGCGGAATAGTTAAGTCTCCCTGGTTTTCATGTTCGTGTGTAGAATGCCCTTGGTTTGGACTTGCCCGTGTCCTCTGGATTTGAGGAGGTTGTACATCTTTGACGGGAACACCATGGAGGTGGGACCAAGTTCCCAGCACCTCCCGTCAGGTGGCCCACGAGTCGGACTTGGTCCCCATATGGACAAGGCAGCCTTCAGTGCCCGTGGTGTCTGCCAGCCTCCCCCACGGCATTCTCCGCTTCCGCGCTGAAATCCATGCCATTGGAGGAAAGCACTGGGGGACTGTGGAGGTGCCGTCCTTTGCCACAATTCCGACTTCTCTGTAGGCGTGTGGGCTCACAATCTCCTATTCTGTGGGTTGTGTCTGTTTCTGTTGCTTGTGTGGGTGCTGGAAATGCCAAAGATTGGCCATGGAGGACACTCTTCCAAGGCTGCCCCTCTCTCTGACATGTCCTGTCCTCCCCGAGCACCTCTGACTTTATGGCCCGTCCAGATGTTCTGCCTCTAACCTGGTAGCAGTCCACTTGCTGGAATTTAAATTCGCCAGTTTTGCTACTTATTTTCTCTTTATCTCATCTGTCCTTTGTTCCTCTCTTTCTGCTTTCTCCTATATTAAGTGTGTTTTCACAAGCGGTTCCGTCCCCTCCATTGGCTTGGTACCTGTACCCCTTGCTCGTGGTTTACAAATTGTGCCAGGCGTCCCCGAGTGAACATGCATCCCGCTCAGCACAGCCCACCCTCGTGTGATGTGACCCTGAACCGCGTTATGTATGTCAGGTCGTATATCTCACGTGAGAGCCCATGCCCACTAGTCCCACTGCCCCGTACCTTCGCCGTACTGCCCGACATTGTACTCCCTGCGACTTGTACCCCAGGACATTGTTAACTGTTTTTGCTTTAATTAGTCAGTTATTATTCTTTTCATTTGTCCACTCATTTTTTCACTGGTTTCTTTTTATTTCTTGTAACGGTTTCACCGAAACCCAGGGTGTGCTTGTCTGACTGTCCTTGGCTTTGTCGGGCTTCACAGACACTGCGTGTCTTCCGGGTCGGAGGTCTGCAGCAACCCTGTTCCAGCAGGTGTGTTGGACCGGCTTCCAGCAGCTTCTGCTCCCCTGCTGCCTCCGTGTCACATTTTGGTAATTCTCACAACACTTTGGAGTTTTTCCCTGCTCTTACATTTGGCACGATGGTCCGTGGTGGCCGGGTGTTTTGCCGCTGTGCTTGTCGTGGGTGCGTGAAGCACGCCGTGGCAGACGGCAGGCTTCCTCGGTTAGGGTCCTGTGGGCTCTGACTGCCCCAGCGCACAGCGGGTCCCCATCTCTGTCCCTTCCTCAGGCCACCCCATTCCTTGAGACGCAACAGCCTTGAGATGGGGCCAGTCAGGAGCAGCCCACGATGGCCACTCAAGTGAAAGGAAGAGCGGCAGGCTCTCCCTTCAGATCCGGAGCTGAAAGCGACCCTGCAGTGGGAGGAAAGCCCACCGGGCTGCTGGGCTCTCACACCGGCCAGCGGCCACGTGGTGAATGCAGAGGCTGCTTCCAAGAACGCAGGCAAAGAGAGTGATCCAGCCTTGCTGCAGACGAGGAGGCCACACCTGGGGGAGGGCCAGCTGCAGTCCCCACAGAGCGAGGCTCTGGCACTGCAGTCCCACCCAGCTGAGGAGAGCCAAGGCCGTGGAGCGGTTGGCGGAGGCAAACGTTGGCTCCCAACGCTGACGGAGCGACGCCGAGTCCGTGACGGGAGGCAGCAGGCAGAAGCCCGGGCTAACCCGCCAGAGCGGCCGGGCTCACTCACAAGCCCCGAGAGCTTCGGCAACGGCCAACGGTGCCCACGGAGCGGCGCCGTCAGGGAAGATGCTGCCAGGGCCGTCAGTCCAGGGAGGGCCGCGGGCTGCAGGGCTTCCGCAGACGGGCTGGCTCTTGCCAGGGGGCGAGCCGGCCGGTGACCGAAGTCGAGGCCGGTGCCCGCGACTTTCCGAAAGTCCCCGGGCCCGTGGGGATGGCGCGCCCGCTGCTGGCGCGGTCTGCTCGGTGCTGTCAGCCCGTTGTGGAGGCTGCTGATCCCGGAGACACTCCCGCCACACGTCAGCGGCCCCCAGCCCCGGCGCCCCGCAGCCCCGAGGAGGAGCGCGCTCTGCCTCCAGGCCCGCCGGAAGCATCGACTGCGCGAGGTTGAGGTGGTTCCTCCGACGGGTCTGGGCCAAGCAGGCCGGAAGCCTCCTGGAAAGGACCCATCGCTCCGGAGGCCGCCGCACACGTGCCGCGCTCAGGGGAAGAGGCCGCGGTCGCGGGCCGGACGGGGGTCTGGGAGAAACGGGCTCTGAGGAGCTCGGCCCGGCCGGTGTCCCAGCGGCGGGCGCGCGTTCCGCGGCTGAGGACTCGCTCTCCGGGGCTGAGGAGGGCCCGCGGCTGCTGGAGACAGAAGCCACTCCGGGGAGACGCCGTGAAGGCTGCTGCGGCGACGAAGGGTCGAGAACGTGGCTTCGGGGGCCGTGGAAACGGCGGCAGGGCTGGGAGCTCGGACTCAGATTCTCGGGACGTTCCGCCGCGGGTCAGACGCCGCCACACAGCACCGCCTGCTACGGGGAAGTCGCGGGTGACGGAAGAACCGATGCGGCGGGCTCCTCTGCGGTCCTCCTCCAGGAAGCTTCCGTGGACCCGGCCTCGGCGCCCGCGCCCCGACCGACGAGGCTGGACCCTCCGCAGCGGGCGGGGCATGACTCGGCGCAGGCCGGGCTGGGGTCGCTACTCCTTGGCGAAGTCCTTCCCGACGAAGGCACTTGCGCGGAGTATCCAGACAGACGCCGTCGCGCACCTGGCGGGCTCAGGGCCGCGCGAACCGAACTCGGCCCCGCGCTCGCCCCACTCGCTCCGCGGTGACCGGCCCTTTGCGGTGGCGCCCGGAGCCCAGCCCTCTGGGTGCCTCTGCCTCTCTGAGCGCCGGGGTTCCGTGTTCTTCCACGTCGAGGCCGGTGATTCCGAACGCGTTTATTGACTCGGCTTCCCGCCCCTGGCCGCGCGGCGGGGATCCGAGCTTGGGAGCTCCCACTCGCCCTTCCTCTGCGGCCGCGCCCTCCCCTTCCGGCCGCGCCCTCCCCTTCCGGCCGCGCCCTCCCCTTCCGGCCGCGCCCTCCGCCCGATGCGGGGCTCGATCCCAGGACCCTGGGATCATGACCTGAGCCGAAGGCAGAGGCTTTAACCCACTGAGCCACCCAGGCGCCCCCATACAACTCAAATTTTAAACGCCAGTAATGTGGGGTTTGACTGGGTGGGTTTTCTTGAGCAAAGCAGGTTACTGACTAACTTCAGGATCGGTAAGAAGTGTTTATCAGTGTGTATGTGAAAATCTCAGATTACTCCTCAGAGGGTCAGACACAGGGAAAAAGAAGAACTGAGGAAATGTGCTCTGTACAGACAGGAGCAGGGGGAAGGCAAAGAGAGACACTGGAAGGAAGAAACGGCGGAAGTGTGTCTGCGCCGGTCCCTGGGACTCACGGCCAGGAAGAGTCCGTGTGTGCAGGGCCCAAGCTCTCTGGTTGGCACTGAGCCTGGCTGTGCAAATCAGGATGCAGATGGTGCCCTGGCCCTCCCAGGACCCCTGAGGCTCTCCTGGAGCTTCCTGGATCTGACCGCCACAGTGGAGGGTCGCCTTTGTTTTGTTTTGAGATGCTGCAGTTCATGGTACCTATTTAGCGCGCTTGAGGAAACAGAGCTGAAAGCTAATGGGGAGATGGGCCTGCAGCCACAGGAGGCCAGGTGCAGGCCGGCGGCCACTCTGACGTGTGTTGGCCTGCAGGGCAAGTGTGCCCCTGTAATGGGCCTCTGCTCTTCTCTGCCATTTATTATTTTTAATTCTGTGGCACAAAGACCGTGATTATGGAGTTATTAGCACTAGTCTAATGTGCAGTGGGGCCGTTATCTCATAGAGGCCCCAGTGGGCCTGGGGCCCTCTTGTCACGTGAGGAGTGCAGGTGCCTGGCACAGGCCTGGGGGCTGTGTTGGAATAGAGGCCATGGTGCTGCACATGGCCACGTCGAGAAGCCCAGGGTGTGCCTGACCCTGACGGGACCGTGGGAGAAAGGAAGGGATAGGCGCTTGACATGGTGTCCCTGCAGGTGTGTCTTAGAAGGTGAAGAGGCCTTGCCCCATTGGTGTCCGGAGCTTGGAGTCTGGAGCCCGATGGACGGGGCTTGGACCCCAGTTGTGCAGCCTCTGAAAACAACTTCACCTTTCTCTGCCTGGGCTCCCTGCCGTCCTAGAAGGTGCCTCCCTAGTGTGGGGAGCAGAAGTTCACTGTGGTGCTGCGCTCGGCCGTGCCGGAGGTCACAGGCTTTCTCTGGGTCTCAGTGGTGCTTGTGTTGCAGGACGCAGAGGGCTCCACTTGTCTGCACCTCGCTGCCAAGAAAGGTCACTATGATGTGGTTCAGTATCTGCTTTCGAATGGACAGATGGACGTCAACTGTCAGGTAACGCTACCCCTGCACTTGCGGACCCTCCACCTGGCCGCCTGGTCAGTGACCCCGTTCTCCGTCGTAGCAGTGGTGGCCCCTCCCCGTTTTCTGCAGCCCCCCTGGAAGGCCTGGCCTCGCCCCCGCGGCCGCCGCCCCTGCCTGACCGCTGGCTATTCTGAACGCTCACCACCGGCTCAGCTGCCCGGCTGGAGACTTCTCCCACAGCATCTCCCTGGGCTGACCTGCCAGGCACCCTCCCTCCCGTAGCCATCTTCCCTCCCAGCGGCTGTCAGGGTTCCACGGCAGGGTCCTTATGCACATGTGGCCCCGGCCTGAGGAGGTCGCCTGTGCATGTAGCGAGTGGCTCAGAAGAGCAAGTGAGAGCATTTCCCTCCCACTTGCTGAGGCGCAGACCGCTCCCCTCCCTGTGACTCGGCCCTGGAGAGGCCATCTGGGCTCACAGGCCCTGTCCCATCTCTTTTAGTCCAGCCATTGCCTCCAACCCAGCTCTAACAAGCCACCCTGACAGAGACCCTCCCCAGTGGCCCAGATAGAGCTCCCTGCCTTGTGCCACCTGGCCTCCCTCTGCTCTCACAGGTCCACGGGCTGGACCCCTCCCGTTTCATTTTCTGTCTCCCACTTAGTTTGGTTTAATATGTTCCTGGGCTGGGTTCCCTCTGGTGTGCTTGTCCCTGTTGTGCCCCCAGGGCCCAGGTTGTGCCCTCAGCCAGCCTGCAGGGATGGCCTCACTGTAGTCATGGGGGCCGCATGTCTCCCAGAGAGGTGGCAGCTGGTGGGGGAGGGACAGGAAATCGTTGGGGACGTGTTGGGGAGGGTTGAGCTTTCTGCCACCAGACCGTGAGTTGGCAACGTGATACTCATTTCCTGAAGACTTGCCTTTTTCTGGTTTAAATAAAACTGCCCACCACCACTGAATAAGGAGACAGGCCTGGGTTGTGGATGGTAGAAAGCCAGGTCGTCAGAACCATGACAGACCCTAATACGGTCAGCCCGGGCAGGCCTTCTGCTTCCTGCCCTTCAGGAAGAAGTGGGAAGTGGGCACAGCCTCCGTCAGTCTCTGGGGTTGGATGTCTGGCCGTCTGCAGGTTGGCAGCTGGTCCTACTTCATGCTCGGGGTCTGTCTGGGTCACAGGGGCCGGTGCTTCCTACCAGCCAGACTGCTGCTCTGGGCGGGATGGTCTGGTCAGCATTTCTTGGTCCTTACGTGGTCCAAGTAGGTGTCCTGGTGGTAACTGCCCAGCAGGCTGCAAAGGGGCGAGGGTGCCTGGCTGATCTGTCCGTCCCCCTCAGAGCCGAGGTTCTGGCTGCTTCCTGCACTCACGGAGGCACTGAGGGCCGCACCCTCAGCCTTGGTCTCCTCATCCACAGAATGGGGACTTGGACTGTCTCCTGTAGTCATCTTACAGGTCCTGAGTGAGACCGCTTCATGATACTTGCCTGCAGAGCTGTAATGGATTGTGTGTGTGTGTGTGTGTGTGTGTGTGTTGTGTTTTTTGGCTTTGTTTTTGAAATTAGGATGACGGCGGCTGGACGCCCATGATTTGGGCCACGGAGTATAAGCATGTGGAGCTCGTGAAGCTGCTGCTCTCCAAGGGTTCTGACATCAACATCCGGGATAACGTGAGTCTCTGGCTGTCACTGGCCCTGAGCTCCCCCAGGGAAGCGGATCCTGGAGGAGGGTGGAGGGACCAGGGTGCACAGCGCGGGCAGCGGCAGCTTCTCCTTCTTGGAAGCCTGACTGCAGCTCTGCCCTCTTCTTTCATGTTTTCCGCGGCCCCCGTGGACCTGCTCGGGCTTCCTGGGGTGGTTTTGTGGGTTGACAATTGCTGCGTGTAGACAGGGGCAGGGGTTCCTGAGACCTGCCCTGTGGATAGTACCTGCCTTTGGAGAGGTGAACCTGGACTGCGATTGCGTCACTGACTGCCGTGTCTGCGGTCAGGGCCTGGGAGCCCAGGCGCACTCCATACCTGGGCGGTAGCAGTGTGAACACTGTCTTGGGAGGAAAGAAAGGGAGCCACCATGTGACTGGACCGTGAGAGCTCAGGTGCTTGTGTGGATGGGTAGTTTTATGGGGCAGATTTGTTTTCAGAAAACAGGGTTTTGGGGCCAAGGTCAGAATATTTGCCAGTTCCCCTGGGAGTAATCTTCCAGCCTGTGTATCACACAGCAGGTGGTTGTAGTTAATTATTTTATTATTTTTAAAAAGATTTTACTTATTTGAGAGAAAGAGGGAGATAGTGACAGATCATGAGCGAGTGGGGAGCTGAGGGAGAAGCAGACTCCCCGCTGAGCAGGGAGCCCAATGAGGGGCTCCATCCCTGGGCCCTGAGATCATGACCTGAGCCGAAGGCAGACGCGTAACCGACTGAGCCACCCAGGCGCCCCTCTAGTTAATGTCAAAGGGCGTTTCTTGGGAGGTCTTCAGGGACCCACTCGGGAACAAGGCAGAGGGATGGGGTCCCAGGGCGGATGGACATGGTGTGCCCTGCAGAGCTGTGTCGGCTGCTACAGAGAGTCACCCAAAGCCGTAAATGGAAAATGTAGCACAGACTCATTAAACTGATAATGAAATAAAGCAGCTTACGGTGAGACGTGATTTTTGCAAGCATGCCATTCAGTACGGCGCGAGTCGTGGAGCCCTAGTGCCCAAGGTAGGGAGCCGGGTGGTGAGCGGGACGGGCTCACCAGATCCCTGCTTGAAGAAGGTGGAGCAGTAGCGAGCACCACCAGATCACTCACTGTGGCTGCTCGGCTCTGGGACCTGGCCCGAGTCTGCGAGCCGGTCTTACTGGCCTGAAACCGGGAACAGCAGCACAGAGGCCGGCATTTGGGCCTGCAGGTTGTGGCTCAGCCGTGGGGTGTTTCTGTTTGTGTCCGTAGAGCTGGTGTCAGTGCAGTGGTGCTGCCTGTAGGGACCCAGGGGCTGGGAGGCCCAAGGCAGCTCTGGGTGAGGGGAGAGGTAAGGGCCATGATGAGGTCCAGTGTGGCTGCCGTAGGGGCCCGTTGTGCTCTGTCCTGCAGACACTTTGTGACATATCGCGCAGCGTCCTTCGAGCGTGGCCGTGGCCGTGTGTCCTTGGCGGGCAGGATGTCAAGAGTGTGTGGGTGCAGAGCGGCCCACGGCCTCATAGAGCCTGTGGGTGTCAGTGCCTGTGCTGCTGGAGGTCCTCGAGAAGCAGGATTGACTAAGCTGCATGTGTGTTGTTCCTGTGAAAAACAGCTGTGTTTTTTCGCCCTAACAGTTCTAGTGATGTGTCCGTGGTGCACCCTGTAAGGTGTCCAGGTGGATGTGTGTTAGCCCCCAAAACCATCCCCACCGTCAGGACAGTGCATGACTCTCCCACAAGTTTCTTCCTGGCTCTGCTGCTCCGCTTTCCGTAGCCGGATCCCTACACGGGGTCGGTGCCCAGGCAGCGTCAGTCAGCTGGGCTCAGCGTGCCGGCTCGTGAGTCCTTCACCTGGCCGCAGATGCTGGGTTTTCTGGGCTCCGGCTCTCACACACACAGTGCTGTGGACATGCAGGCATGTGTCTTTGCGTGGCCCATGCCATCATTTCTCTCTCATAAAGCCTGGGTCGCCTGTTTACGGAGGCTGCCCGGTCCCCGCAGTGGGGAGAGCGGGGTCTGTGAGCCACTGCTTCGTGTCCTCTCCGGCACTTTCTGGGCTTCATGGGTGTCCTCTTGCTGGTGGGGGCAGGCGGGTCTTGTTTTCTAGTTCTTCCGTTCTAAGAGTTGCTGTATATTCTGCGTGTACACTGGACAAGCCTGATGTCCAGTGTCTTGCGTGCAAGTCCACTGTCAGATGTTTTACAAACCCTGGCACCTATTTCTGAGAAGCAGATGCTTTTTAATTTTGATAAAGTCTAGTCTATTAATATTTCCTATTTATGGATCTCGTGTTTGTTGTTCTCCTTAAGAAATCATTGCCTGACCCATGATCCCCAAGACTTTCCTTCATGTTTTCGTGAAGCAGTTTGTTCTGCACAAGGGTGTCTAGCTGTCCCAGTGGCGCTTGTTGGGGAAGCTGTCCCTTCTCCGTGGTGTTGGCTTTGCCCCTTTGTCCACACGCGTGTGGCTCCATCCTGGGGCCCTGTCTTCTGTGCTGTTGGCCCGCACGTGTCTGTCCTTATGCCAGCACTGTGGTTTCTCAATTAGAAAATGCTGTGTTACACGCACAGAGGGGTGTCCCGTTTCTCCCAGCTGTTGGTTTCAGACATTGTACGATACCGTTACTTTGTTACAGCAATCGGCTATCTTTTGGAAACACTGTAATCTCCAAGGACCAGTGCCTGAAGACACCACTTCCTTTGCTACTGAGGTCCTTCATTCCAGGGTCCTTTTTCTTCTGCATGTCTGACTTCGTTTCTTGTGATCTGCGGCATGAGGTTGCTCCCAGCCCCTGATGCTCTTCTCCTTTCCCTCAAGTATTTTTTCACTCTGGATCATCGCAGTTTGCTGATTCTGTCGCAATGTCGCTGTGTTTTCAAGCTCGGTCTTCTTTTCTTCAGAGCCTGTTGCGCTGTTACTCTCATCGAGTGTGTTTCCGGCGGATATCGTGTGAGTCGGCTCCGAGTTTTGTTTGTGACCTTGGGCTGCAGGCCGGATTCGGTCAGTTTTTCCTTGCTGGGGTCTCTGTAGTCCTGGGAAGGAGCTGAGCCTTGTCCCCGCTGCAGCAAAGTTACCTGGAAATAGTCTACTTTGGGTTTTGCTTTCTAGGTTTGTTATGTGGGTTCCAGCATAACAGCTCGTGCTGGTTGTCTCTCTTGTGCGGGTACTAGCGCTGAGCCCTCTGCCTCAGCTTTGGGGTATGTCCCCCTGGAGATCCAAGGTGAGAATGTCCAGATCTCCAGAGGCCTCTTTCCCAGCCCCACGTTCTGCTGCCTCAGCCCTGGCTGCCTTGGCCACTGGCCCTCAGTTCCTGTCTCAGGGTTTCTCCTGGTCCCCTCCCTGCCCTGAGGCCTGGATCTCAGGACCGTGAGCAGACGGATCCAGGCTCCCTTGTGTGTTTCTGCTCTCGGGTACAATACTTCATCGCCTGATGTCCAGTGTCTTGAAAACCATTATTTCACACATTGTGACTCTTTGGCTCTTTGAGGCAGGAGGGTCAATCCCAGATGGTCCCCCTGGCCCAGTCCCTGCCAGAAAAGTGCCGTCCGTCACTTCATGTGCGTGGGTCAAGCCTGCTGTAGCAGAGCAGGCAGATCCCAGCTAGTCTGGGACTGCACATCCCTGGGCTCAGAGGAGCCTAGACGGATGGGGGCAGTCTTCACCTGTAATTCTGGTCATAAAATCACAAAGGAATGAGAAAAAAGGCCTGTAAGGAAACCACGTTTTGTTCTGGAGCTTGCTCGGGTCTAGACAGTGGAAAGATGAGAGGGCTGGGAGGCATCTCGAACGAGTCCAAGACAGGAAGCCCCAGGCAAATCCAGGCTTTTCAGAGAACACTAAGGCTGACAGAGGAGCCGTCAGTGAAGCCTGTGCCTGGGGCGAGCTTTGTCTCCTGGCAGAGAGGGCCACTCAGCTTGACTCTTCCCTTTCCTCAAGTCCGTTGAGCCAGAAGCATCGGGTGCACTCCGAGTGGGGGACTGGGAGGCAGATTCCCCGCGAGAACTGGAGCATTCCGGGAGGTTCCCTGGGTGGGAGGGGCGCAGGGATGAGGCGTGCAGGGTCAGTAGCCGGCACTTAGGTCTCATGGGGGCTGGCGGGTGGGGCGGGCCATGCACTGTGCGGGGCTCTGCCCATGCCACCAGCCCCCTGGGGTGACACCAGGGAGGACAGCCGGGCTTGACCCAGGCGGAGGCTCCTGTGAGATCGTGGGGGTTCTTGAGGCATGAGGCCCCCTGAGCAGCCCCCCCCCCGCCAGAAGAGCAGAAAGTGCTTTCAGGGCAGTCAGTGTTGATGCTGGCTGTGAGGGGTTGAGCCCTGAGACCCAGTCAGAGGAAGAAAAGGACTAAAACATTCACTGCCTTGTGTTCCAGGGGAAGGCAGGAACCAGCTAAAGGTTTGGTAAAGGAAGGGCTGAGTGAGTCACAGCCGTGAGCTCAGCCTGCACGTGGTCAGAACCGCCCCCCCCCCCCCGCTGCAGGGAGCACAGGGCCAGCAGCCCAGTGTGCGCGTGGTGGGGGGTGTTGAAGCGGCTTTCCCGTTTGTCCCCAGTGTGGTCGCTTAGCTGTTGTGTCCCTGTAATTCACGCTGATTCCCACCTGGCATAGCTGCGCGTTGCTCTGTATGTGTCCGTATTCCTCGTCTCTCACATGAGTTTTTTTGCACGTTTATTTTCAAAATGACAGTGTAGCGATCCAAGAAACTTACTGTGATTATTCTAAGTCATGTATAGCTTGTATACGGCCCAAATGGTGTTTTCCTAATCTTTGATGTAAAATTTTTATTTTACAGAGGTTCTTATGAAGTAAAATCTTAATGCAATCAGATTTGCCCACGTTTTATCTTTGTCAAATCTTACACAAGTATTGTCCCGTCCCGCAGTTGTACTTTTTTTCCAAAGTGAATATGATTTTACTCCCAGATGTCGTGTTTAGGTTGGTCTAATTCCAGATGATTTTGTATTCTGTTTTCAAGATATTCAGTACTGTACTTACATTACTTTTATAACAAGAACGAAACAAGACAGGACGCGTGCTCGGCACTCACTGGGTCTTTGCTGTCTCTCGGTGCGCTGTGCTGTCTGTCCGTGCAGGAGGAGAACATTTGCCTGCACTGGGCCGCGTTCTCGGGCTGCGTGGACATAGCCGAGATCCTGCTGGCTGCCAGATGTGACCTCCATGCCGTGAACGTCCATGGGGACTCACCCCTGCACATTGCTGCCAGAGAGGACCGCTATGCCTGTGTCCTGTGAGTGGCCCTGCTGCCCACAGTCCCTGCACAGCTCCCAGGCACCCCCGGGTCCTCCAAGGGAAGCTCTTTCCCCGAGCAGGTGGCGACCCATGTGAGATCAGCATGGCTCTTCCTGGTTCAGGGAGGATCGAAGACTCAGATGAGTCTCACCCAGCCCCCCTTATCAAAGGGGAGGGGCAGGCCCCCTCAGGAGGGTTGGAGGTGTTGGTGCTCCCCACTCAGAGCCCGTTCCTGTGTCACACATGTGTGTGGGTGCCATTCGGGTCCTGGGAGTCGTCCTTGCTCTGCCCTCCGTGGAACCTCAGGACCCCATCCTGCCCGGTCGCATGACCTCAGGTCCCCCCCGCTCACCTGGAAATGCGGGGATGGCCTGTCGTTGGGGCCCACGCCTACTCAGACTGGGACCTTGGGGGAGGCCCAGCTGAGCGGGTTGTGGCATGAGGCCCCTTGGGGGGAGGGTTGTAGAGGGGCAGCTCACAGGATACCGTGCTGCCGCCCTCCGTCCGGTGCTGACTCACCTGCAGGGCACGGACGGTGTTCGTGGCGTGGTTCACCCGCCTCTTGCTGGCCCTGTTCCTCCTTGAGCAGTGGGCCTTCGAATGGAAAGGCCAGATAGCCTGCGGGACCATCCCTAGCCCTTTACACACGCTTCCTGACCAGGAAACTGAGGTGACCTTTGACCGTAAATGTGGGAAAGAAGTAATGTAGTATAGTCCTGGTGAGTCAGGGCAGAACTTTTTGGAAACAATGGTCAGCAAGCTTATTATCAAGGTGGATGATGTGTTCCCTTTACTTTTACCTTCTAAAGTGATAAATCTCGTGTCTTTTAAATGAAGGTCTGAATGTTTTGTTGGCTTACATTTTTCCTTTTAGCCTCTTTCTTTCTCGGGATTCAGATGTCACCTTGAAGAACAAGGAGGGAGAGACACCCCTGCAGTGTGCAAGCCTCCACTCCCAGGTGTGGGATGCGCTGCACACGAGCCGGGCGCTTCGAGACGCGGCCCCAGACAGGCCTGCACCGACGGAGAGGACGGTGAGCAGGTGAGACCGCCGTTCTCAGGCCAGGGTTGACGGATGGGGCTCGAAGAGGGGGAAGCACCAGCTCCTGGCCCAGCTGAGGCACCCCCCCGGGTCTGAGTCCAAGGTGCCTGGCCCAGGGCTCGGCGGCTGCCCTGTCGGGGTAACGTCGCCCCTTTCCGGTGGCAGAGACATTGCTCGCGGCTATGAGCGCATCCCCATCCCGTGTGTCAATGCTGTGGACAGCGAGCCGTGCCCCAGCAACTACAAATACGTTTCTCAGAACTGCGTGACGTCTCCCATGAACATTGACAGGAACATCACCCACCTGCAGGTCAGCGATGGGGGGGCGGTGGCAGGCCTCTGGGGCCTTGGTCTACAGGCATTTCCCTCACGGTGGTCGCCTTCCACTGAAGAGTCTGAAGGCAGTGAAAGATCCTGAAAGCAGATCTGGTGCCTCGCTGGAGGCTTCCAACCCCTAGAGCAGTGCCTAGCGTCCCCCGGTGAGTCATGTTTGGGGGCCGTGCCAGTGAGAGGAGCCAGTGTGGTGCCACCAGTGTCCCTGCCTTCGAGCTTCTCTTGCCTTGAAGCTGGACGTGTGCCCTCAGGGCAGGGTTGTGGCCCTTTCCCATGGAGCGGCCGGCCTCAAGCGCAGGCCTTGGGATTTCTGCCTCTTAGCCCCACATCGCTGACCGCCCTGCCTCCTCCCTTCCTTTGGGTTCCTCATCCAGAGCCCCTCGTGCGGTCTCTCTGTGTCTAAGCGGCTGGGTGTCCTCTCCTGCCCACGTGCCCTCTTCCTTGGGGCTGCACGCCCCTTGGTGTCCTTGAGAATGGAGAGGTTCGAGCCAGTCTCCTTTCTTCCATGCGGGCCTGGCCTTCTGAGAGCGCGCGTCAGGATGGCGAGGCGCGGCCGAGAGCGGCCCCCTGACGCACCGTCTCCCCACAGTACTGCGTGTGCATCGACGACTGCTCCTCTAGCAACTGCATGTGCGGCCAGCTCAGCATGCGCTGCTGGTACGACAAGGTGAGTCTGCGGCCATGGCAGCAAGTCTCCCACAGGCCCCCACGGAGCCCGGCTGGCCTGGGAAGGAGGGCTGCAGGGAGCCAGCCTCCATGGCAGCTGTCGGTGAGCCCAGCCAAGTGCCATTGGGGATACAAGGGGACGGCTCTGGAGGCCGGCATCCAACAGAAGAAGCTTAAATGCCCTTCGTATCAGGAGTTCAGAGGTTGTCGGGGGGACCGGAGCCAGGGTGTCCCAGGGTGAGGGTAAGAGCACAGCAGAGTCCCCGTGGGAGCGCGGGGCGTGGCACGGGGGCTGTTCCTGCCTGCTGAGCAGGGGTGACAGCCCGCACCCTGGAGGTATGTGTGCTCTGTGAGGCACTGCTGTGCTGAGGATGGGCAAGAGCGAGCATTTCGAGGGTCTCACTGTTCAGAGCAGCCTCTGAAGCCACGGGGACCTCCGACTCGGCCATGAGGCCCTGGTGTGTCGGCCGATGGCTCTGCTGTGTCCGGGTGTAGGACAGGAAAACAGGTGGCCCGCTCGCTGCCAGAGCTGTGGGCCTGCCAGCTGCAAGGACAGACTACAGCGTGGCAGTGGACGTCGGCTGGGGGCTGATGACCCCACGAAGGAAGTGGAGGGGCCTGTGGGCCGCTGGCCTTGGCGATGCTGAGTGCGTTCCAGGAAGAAGGAGGGAGGCAGACCGGGGGGACGGAGACCAGACACCTGTGTATGCTCCCGGTTAATGCTTCCTGTCCAGACCACAGACGTGGAACATGACCCTGGTGCCCCCAGCATGAAGTCGGACCAGAAACTATCGTTTTAATACCCGTGTTTTAGTTTGTAAAACTGTGTTGGTTTAAGTGTATTTAGCGCGAGTGGCGAGCCACACTCAGTCCCGACTGCACGTCCTCTTCCCAGGACGGCCGGCTCCTGCCCGAGTTCAACATGGCGGAGCCGCCCTTGATCTTTGAGTGCAACCATGCCTGTTCCTGCTGGAGGAGCTGCCGGAACCGCGTCGTGCAGAACGGCCTCCGGTGAGCACGAGCCCCTGCGGCCCCTGCCTGAGCGCAGGGCTCTAAGCCCTTCAGTGCTGGGTGATGCCAAGGGTCTCTGTTTTCAAGGTTTGGGAACGGTTGCAGATTTCTTGCAGAGTTCGCTGTATTTTACGGGGGTTTTGTACAGACAAGGCTGGGATGTGTTGCCATGTGCGTGCGTGCGTGCTCACGGTGGAGGCACAGGGACGCTGTCTTGTGTGAGCCCTTTCTCTCCAGCTGGTGGTACAAGCTGGCACAGATGACACAAGTCCTGCTTCTGAGCAGTTGGGGGGTTGGTGAGGCCTGAGGGACTAGGCTGTCCCACGCAATGAGCTGAAGGCCCAGAAATGGGCTCTTCCCGAGCATTGCCTTTGCCTCGAGGTAGCAGGTGCACAGCGACTGTGGGAAGACTCAGACCACTTCTGAAACATCGTGTGTTGAGTGAGTGTCTCCGCAACAGCGGTGTGAGCGTGCTCTGGTGTACAGCATTTCAGACCACGTGGATGCCCTGTTCTTAAGTCACTTGGGGCTCTTGGCCCAGTGAGGTCTGGCCAGCACCCCTTTCACGGGCCGCGCTGAGACACCTTCCTCCGGCGTCCCCTGTCCCTGAGCTTTTCCTCTTGTGCACGAGCTTGAGAATTGGAAGAGCTCTCTGGCCATCTGAGGCGTGAGGGCAAATTCACACGCAGCATCGGTCCGGTTTGTCGGCACTACAGGGTTTCTCCGCACCAGCGGTCGGAGAATGCCTCTGACCGGCCCACACGTCCCTGTTTCCCTGTTGGCCCGACATCCTCTGTGGGGAGGACACACATGCCCGGCTCCCCCAGGGCCCCTGGACACACAAAAGGGCAGGTGGGTCCCCATGGCTCTGAGCTTGGGAGAGCCCCCACCTACCGTGAGGGGCCAGCAGTGTCTGCCCCTCTGCTCTTCACTGCAGCCCGGGGGCTCGGCCAGACCTGTCCCCGTGTTACAGATGAAGACACAGGCATTCGGACCGAATTCCGAGGCAGTCTCCCGTTCCCTGAAGATGTGCTGTGGGCTTCCCTGCACGGAAAGCTCCAAGGAGCTCTCGCGATGGGAAGGCCGTGTCTTGCGCTCTGTTTGCTGCCGTGCCTGGCGGTGTGGTCCACACTTGAGCCGAGCACCGGGGAGCTTGGCGGTGAGTGGCTGACCCTGTTTTCCAGGGCCCGGCTGCAGCTCTACCGGACACAGAACATGGGCTGGGGTGTGCGGTCCCTGCAGGACATCCCCCTGGGCACCTTCGTTTGCGAGTAAGTGAGTGCATGCCTAGGTCACTCCAGGGCTGCCGGCTGCCCTGCCGTTTTGGAGACAGCACAGCAGTGTGGGATGAGGGGCTGCTAGGGCCCTGGCCATGCCTGGGACTCGTGGATGCCCCTGAAAACCAAGTTCCTGTTGTCTCCAACCCTCGCCTACCTCCCTGGCTTTCCACCTGCACTTGGTCTCTCACCAGGTCGTGGCTGTTTGAAGGTGGTACTGTTCAGTGGCTTTCAGGGAGTGTCGTTGTGGATCCTTGGTCCAAGAAGTTTTCTGTGTCGTCCTCTTCTGGGACCTAAAGTTTAACCCCAGCTCAGTCACAGGCATACTCTCCAGAATGTTTGGCCACAAGTCGGGGCCGGGGGAGGGGGCCTGCACCCTGGCTCATGGTCAGGGGCGAGGGTCCTGCTGTCTGCTGCTCTCAGCTGCACCCTGCCTCCCACAGGTACGTTGGGGAGCTCATCTCTGACTCGGAAGCTGACGTTCGGGAGGAAGACTCTTACCTCTTTGATCTTGACAACAAGGTAACACGTTTGGAGGGGTTGGGGCGTAGAGAGCTGGTTGCGGCCATGCGGCGTGGGAGCGGTAAGGAGGCTTGCCCACAGCGGCCCAGTGTCCTCGCCGCCCACCCCGGCGTGCTGGTGCGCTCAGGGCTCGCAGGGTGTCTGCAGTCGGGCCCCTGACCCAGGAGGTCCCCAGGCTTGTGCAGTGAGGAGCCTGCTTCCTTGAGGACGTGAAGCCTGGACACATCCCGCCAGCCCTCTGAACCCTGCTGCTCGTCAGGGGTGAGAGTCCACGGCTGTCCGAGGGCAGAGGGCCGTGTGTGCACGGCAGCGAACATGGGAGCAAACCTCGTGTGAGGGCAAAGGTCTCCCATGTGTCCCAGCTGCCCTCCTGGTTGGGGGGACAGTAGGTGGGCCCTGGTCTGCACCCGAGGACCCGGGTGTCTGGGGACGTTTGGAGGCTACCTCAGGCCGTCCTCACCCACCCTCACGCCTGTCCTGCTCTCAGGCCATGACTTTCCTGTTTAAGAACTTCCAGGAGCACGGCCAAGCTGCAGGTGGGGACCCAGGGCTCTCCTGGAGTAGCTGCCCTTCCTGCCGTGCCCCCCCCCCCCGCCCCTGCAGTCAGCTCTCAGAAAGCCACGTTCCGGGGGAGAAACCTGTGTCCTGGGTGGTCGAAGTGCGCAGGCCCTGATGTCCCCCCGCGGTCCCCTCTGTGAACCTCCTACCCGGTCTTCTGTCCTTCCTTGTCCTTTGAGCGGTTTGCCCTTCGTGGTTTGTGCCAGTGCTCTACAGGTCCGGGGGCGAGTGCCCTCCCGTGGCTTTTCTGTCTCGCAGAGGTATTCTCTGTGCTATTGAGTTCCCGATGATGTCTTTTCATGAACGGAAGTTGCTGTTTTTATTGTCGTCTGATTTCTCTGCCTCTCCCTCCATGCTGGGGGTGTTCGTAGCGTCTTAGGTGAAGCCAGGCCTTTCATAGCCGAGACCGTGCGGAGGCACGCGTGCGGCGTCTACAGAGCTTATGCTTGGCCTCCACGTGTAGGTTATGGTCGTTATGCTGCGGCGTCCAGCTTTCTCCCACGCTGATGTCTGGGTGTCTCATGACCATTTCTTGAGAAGACAGTCCTTCTCCCCACTGCCCCACAGCACGGCTTTTGTTGTAACACAAGTGTCCTTGTATGTTGGGGTGCCGCTCTGTCCTGTCTGCTGACGCCGTAGTAACCATCTGACCTGCCGTCCTCTTACCCTGGGGTCTGTAGGGCTGTCTTGCTTTTCTTGGTCTTGTTCAGTTTCTGGGTAGGTTTTAGGGTCAGCCGGACAAGTTGTACAACACAGGGCAGCATTGAACCTGTGACCCATCTCGGGGCCCCTGGGGCCCCTGCTTTTCTAGGTGACGAGCATGGTGTCCCCCTCTGCTTGCTGGTCATCCCCAGTTGCCCCCACTAAGGCTCAGTGCTGCTTTGTGCAATTTTGTAGATCTCCTCTTGGGCTTTTTCATCTGATAGGTTGTTTTTATTTTTTTTCTAAAGATTTTATTTATTTGACAGACAGAAATCACAAGTAGGCAGAGAGGCAGGCAGAGAGAGGAGGAAGCAGGCTCCCCGCTGAGCAGAGAGCCCGATGCGGGGCTCAATCCCAGGACCCCGGGACCATGACCTTAGCCGAAGGCAGAGGCTTTAACCACTGAACCCCCCAGGCGCCCCCATCTGAAAGGTTTTTGATGATTTTACTTTAAGGGTCAGTTTTATTGTAATTAATTGACGTTCAATGAACTTGGAGTGTGTGTGCGTAGTTTTCAGTCTGATCGGCACCAGGACCAAGACCTGGAGCGCTTCCCCTGCCCCATGGTGCCCCCACCCCGGGTGGCTGTGGGTCCGCATCTGTCTCCACAGCTGGCTTTTCCCAGGGCCAGGGTTTCCCATGAGTGAGGTCCGCGTGTGCTCCGCTGCTTCTGGCTCCTACGGTTCCCCCCAGGTGGTGGCAGGTCCTGTCACCCACCATCGGCCCAGCTATGTTGTGCCACTGCCTGGGGATGGACCTGGGTGTTCCCGGATTTCGAAGTTCAGAGTAAATCTGCTGTGACTTTGGTTTTTGTGGGTTTGAGTTTTCATTTCTTATGGGTAATTCCTGGCAGTAGGATTACTGATGTCGGGTGAAAGTGTACGTTTAATAACTTTAAAAGAAAAGGGAAGCAGTTTCCCAAAGTAGTTGTATTACTTTACGTTTCCACCAGCAACAAATGAGAATTTCAAATACTGTAATTTTAATGTGCGTTTCTTGATGATTTTTTTAAAAGACTTTCTTTACTTATATGATAGAGCAAGAGTGGGAACACAAGCAGGGGCAGAGGGAGAGGGAGAAGCAGGCTTCCTTCTGAGCAGGAAGCCCAGTGTGGCACCCTGGGATCATGTCCTGCGCTGAAGGCAGACGCCCAATGACTGAGCCACCCAAGTGTCCCTCTTGATGATTTTTTTAAAAAAAGAATTTACTTTTAAGTCCTCTTCACACCCAACATGGGGTTCAAACTCTAACCCTGACATCAGGAGGGCAGGTTCGTACGACTAATCCACTGGGTACCCGTTTTCTTGATCGTCAATGACGTGAGCGTCTTTTCGTGTGCTGGTTGGTCTCCTTATTTGTTCTTTTGTGCAGGAATTTTAAAAAGTTACTGCCCATTGTTTACTCGGGCTACGTCCTTTCTTCCTGAGTTGTAAGGGTTCTTTATGTTCCTGATTCGTGACCTTTGTCAGACACGTGTACTGTGTTTTCTCCCAGCCTGTGCCTCGATGGTTCATTTTCTTAGCAAGGTCTTCCATAGAGCAGAAAATTTTCTTACCGTTCCGTGCTTTGTGTCCTAAGAATTCTTTGTCTCCCATGAGGTTGCGAAGATTTTCTCCTTTCTCTAGGATTTTCGTATTCTTGGCTGCTAGATCCACAGTCCATCTTTTGTGTGGCTCGAGATAAGGCTCGAAACTCCTCTTTGTCCGTGTGCGTAAACGGTGATTTCAGTGCTGGCTGGGCGTCGGCTGGAAAAGCCTCTGCCTGGACCGTGGGGAGTAGGTCCGTGCCTGGACTGTGTTTTGTTCCTTTGATTTATTTGCTAACCTCACACTGACCCCGCTGTCTCTTCCCTTCTGTCGGTTCAGGGGAAACTTGGAACCAGGTCATCCCTTTCTAAAGGTCCCTGGAGCTCTCCAGAGTACTCTGGGTTTCTGTGTGCGTTTAGAACCAGGGTGCGTGTACGAGAGGAGGCTGCTGGGACTTGACTGGGACTGTCCAGTCTGTTGGTCCACTCAGGGGCGCTGGCATCTGAACAGTGTCGAGTCTTCTCCGCTGGCTGGTGTCTGCGCATGGAGCCAGCCTGCCCCAGCAGACCCCAGACCGTAGTGGGGACGCCGTTCCAGCAGCCCCCTCTCTCCTGCTGGCTGTTGCCTGTGGCTGCCCCTACCCAGCTCCCGGCCTTCCAGTCTCCCCTCAGTCTAGCCCCTCCAGGCTGGGCCCCGCAGGCCGTCCCCTCCGGCCTCTCCAGCTGCTTCATTCCGGTGCACGTTGTACTCCGGAGCTTCCCAGGGTTCACTCCAGCTCAGACCTGTGTCCCCACTGGCGTAGCCATACCTGTGCCCGTGGCGTCTGGGTGTCCACTGCTCACTCTCACCCACTGTCGAAGACATCGGGAGACTTTCTGGTCCTACCTTCAGAATGTGTCTGGGATCTGACCACCTGTTGCCAAGCTGCCTGCCTTTTCCCTGGGCTGGGCCATCCCCAGGTTCTGGGTCTGTGCTAGGACCCCAGAGTCTGCCTGTCCTTGCTGTTCTAGAACCTTCTGAATACCTACCTCCTCCTAGCCTCTTTGCTTGAATCTGCCCTGGTTAACCAGGGTGCCAGCACACTCTCAGCCTCTCGGAGTGGGGCAGGCTTGCAGGGGCACGGAGCTCCCTTCCCATGCGCTTTTGTCTCAGGAGGGACAAGTAGTTTCTTTATCAGAACTACTGTAGAAGAGCAAGTGGCACACACGTCTGAAGACCCAAGCAGCATCGCTCATGGTGGGAAAGATGCAGTGTTTGCATGGCCAGGAACGGATGCCGGCCCAGCTGGGCAGCAGTCAGGTCTGGAAGAGCTTCTTGCTCCAAAGATGGGCAGCTCTCCTGTCTCTCTGTGTACCTGTGTCCCTTGCCCCCACGGAGTCTCTAAGCTGAGTGTGGTCGGGTGAGCAAAAACTTGAGGTAAACCACAGAAAAACAGATTTACTGAGAGACACCATGCCAGAGGCTAAGGAAAACGCAGGTGGTATGGGGGGGCTGTGGGGCACAGGGACCAGTGGACGGGGACTCAACTTTGTGCTCCGCACCTGCAGGGGTGGGGAACCTGCAGCTCGTTCCCCACAACCCTGGCATCGGGGGAGGCTGTGCATGTCCTGCAGGCTTTGGGCGATGCTGCTTCCGGTAGGGACCCTCGGAGGGTCTCAGACAGGCTGTGGCCTCCCCTGTGGTGGGGTCCGGTCCTGGCATGAGGGCCTGTGATGTCATGTGCTCCTCACCCTGAGGACACCCCGCCCCTCCGTGTGCCCCTCACACATCTTGCCCAGGTCTAACGGTCTGCCCCGCACCCACACTGGCTGCCCTGTGGTCTCTCTGTTAGTTAGGGACAGACACTGCCTCTAGGATTCCTATTTCTTGCCTCTGTGGACAGTCTCTTACTTACATCGCGACGGCCCCACAGGACAGAGGAGGAGAGAAAGGCTGTGCGGTCGAGAGCCGTACGCGCCACGCATCAGATCCCACTTTGTTTCATCTGTTCTTGTGCCAGGAACGTGACGTCACTCAAAAACCTGTCATTTTGTTCCTGAGGAACCGGCGTGTGCCTGCAGGGGCGTCACTGTCGTGCCTCACGAGACCGACCTCAGTTTCCCCAGAGTGTGCACAGCTGGTTTGCTCCCGTCTTCTCAGGGCTGTGTCCCATCATTTCTTCTCCCCGAGGGCAGCCGTGCGACCCTCGCGCTGTCCTGCAGGAACCTGCATCCATGTGTGTGCGGGTGGGGGCCGCGTCCCCGTTCTCTGTCTCTGCAGACAGCGTGAGGGCGCAGGCAGCCTGGGGTCTGCCTCTCCCAGGCCCGGAGTAGGTGAGCCTTGGCTGCCCACCGTCTCCTGATGCTGGAGCCTTCCCTGAGAGTGTCCCATCTCTCACGTTTCCTAACAGACTCTTACGTCGGAAAGAAGAATCTTCCCCACCCAGACGTGGGCATTCGAGCGGCTCCTCGCATACAGGCAGGATCACTCGTTTTTGCCACTGAGGAGGGGTGCGGCAGGAGTTACTGGTGCTGAAGGGGTCGGGGTCTTGTCCTCCTTTCTCTCTCGCATGTAGTTATAGCTCCCGGTTGTTCTGTACTGAGTGTTGTGACTGGTCGTTGTCCGTGTCTGGCACCAGAGGAGCCTGTCTGCTCTGGCCTCGCCTCCCTTGGCTTCGTTGTGTCCGGCTCCCTCGTTCGGCCTCAGATGTCTCTGAGCTGCCCTGGGTCCTTGCGGTCAGGACACCAGAGGTCAGAACTCTGGAATGAAAGAATCCTTAAAAACGTGTCCCGTCATTACTGGGTTGAACACTGCTGGGGTTTGCAGAAGCCCTTGACTTTGATGCCCGCCTCCCGCCTGTCAAGGTCCTGGCTCCTCGCGGTGTCGGTGGTTTCGTAGGGGCGTCACTAACGTGCTGGCCACGGACACCGCAGTGCGGGTGTGCGTGCCGGGTCTGCTGAGGAGACCACGAGACCCCTGGGCAGCACCTGGTATGACAGCTCTCTGGGTGGGTGGGCTCCTAGTTTGACACGCAGGTGTGTTTGTCTTAGTTATTTTAAATTCTAGAATTTTAGGGGTGCCCAGCTGGCTCAGTTGGTGGAGCGTGAGGCTCACAGTCTTGGGGCTGTGAGTTCAAGCCCCATGTTGGGGGTAGAAAGTGCTTTAGAAATAAATAACAAATTGTAGAATTTTAAAATCTGTCTTTTAGTTACATAAAATATTTACGTGCTTTTAAAGTAGAGATTACCCAGAAAGGCTCTGCTCAGGAGAGCCTTGCCTGTTCTGTGACCCCTACAGGTGACCCTTCGTAGGAACACCGAGTGTCCATGTGTGTTTCTTACTTCCTTGCCTTTCGTACAGAAAAGGTGGCGCGCCCGTGGCTCAGGGATCACGTATTCTGAGTATGTGCACAGGGTTCTCGTTGCTCTGGGGACACTCAGGGTGATCTCAGCCTTTGCTGAGACTTGCCGTAGCATCTCCAGGACCCGTCCTGCCCACAAGCCTCTTTGTGGAGCGCTCGCCCTCACCCGCGTCGCGGAGGCTGTGCCCAGCCATCCCGTGCTGCCTCTGACAGCCGGAGCGGGACGCTTGGACCGAGGAATTGCACTGGACTCTCTCGTGTGTCTCTGAGATGCTCACTCTCGGAGGGACGTGCTGTGTCTCCTGTCGCCAGGGCCGCCCAAACGGGGGCTGCAGCGTCCTCGTCTGCTCGGGCAGCATCTGGGCCGCCTCAGGGCTGGGCGCTGTGGGTTCTACAGAACGTGTCCATCTGCCTGGTCTGTCACCTTTGTGCCCGTTGCTGTGTGGGCGGCTCCGGCCCGCCTCTGACGGGCGTCGTGCGGTTCATCCGACGGGCCCGCCAGGCTCGCGTGCGGGCTCGGTCTCTGTCGAGGTGGCGGCTTCCCCCGCCTGCCCTGGCGTCCCCGGCATCCGTCCTGGCTTGGCTCAGGCGGGGACTCATGCACACGGTCTGAGCCCCATGGTGCCCGGCAGTCACGGGGTCCGGCCTCACGCCTCATTCCGCACAAGGGTCTTCACCGTGTGCCCCGCACGGTCGGGCCGCGTGCCCTCCAGGGCTGGCCGCAGATTCCTGGGCTGTTTGCAGGAGGGGAGCTGCTTCCTGCGTGGGGGCCACCTGCGTGTTTAGTCTGTGGCACCCGGAGGCAGAGGCCAAAGGCTGTGCCACGTGAGTCATCGTGCGGTTTCCTCCTGGAGGCAGGACTGCTGGGTCAGAAGTGCGTCGCCTTCGGTTTTGGGGGACGGTTGTCCGAGACAACCCTCCATCACCATTTTGTCTTTCCTTGACCCCCGAGGGTCCTTTGGCTTCTGGTCAATGCTTTGCCCTCCACAGGACACACCCTGGAAGGCCCCCTTCTCCTCGTGGTGTATCTGGCCTTCCCTCCCAGACATGGCCCTCGGTTCCTATGTAGTAAGTTTCCACAGACGTAGCCGTGGGGGACGTCCCTGCTCACCGGCCGCGCACTGCGAGGGGCAGAGCCGGTGTGAGTGGGCTCTCTGCTCAGGGCCCAGGGGCAGGCAGGGTTCTCTCGGGGGCGGGGCTGCGGCCTGTCGAGGGTTGGAGGACTCCGCTCCTTGCGTCCCAGGGCAGATGCCCGCCCCCTTTAGTACCCAGGCCACGCACATTCCTCACCACGTGACCCTTCGGACTTCAGGCCCCAGTGCTCTGGCTTTTTCCAGAGAAGAATGCTACTTCAGGGGCTCCTGTGGTGCGGTCAGGCCCCCAGCCAGCCCCCCTTTCTCACCATCAGCTCTGGTCCTTTCTGCTCGTAATCACAGGGGTGGCGCTGGGGCAGGGTCCCGGGGCTCCTGAGGTCCTGGCTCCTCTCTGTGCCGCTGGGTTCGCAGGACTTGGCAGTGTTTCTGTCACGTGGCTATGACCGACCACTCAGCCCAAGCGCTGCTTCCCTCCCTCTGTCCCACCTGCTCACACACTCCGTGTCTCCCAGCCACTCCTTGGGATCTGCTCCTCCATCACCAAGTCCCAAAGAGCTACTCCCCACCTGCCCCCCAACCTCCTGCCACACCCCGTGGTCCCCGCAGCCCTGCCCCCTTCTTCATGGGAGTACTGGTGTCCAAGCGTCCGATGGTCCACGTCTGGCTTGCGGTGTGGAATGGGCAGCATCCCCGTGGCCCTCAGGCCTGTTGTGCCCTGCTCTGGGCCGCGTTTCTGCCTGCGGTCTGCAGATCTGCAGGCTCCTGCTGGAGCTCCCTGCTCTCCTTCCCGCCCACTAGGACGGCGAGGTGTACTGCATCGATGCTCGCTTCTACGGGAACGTCAGCCGCTTCATCAACCACCACTGCGAGCCCAACCTGGTGCCCGTGCGCGTGTTCATGTCACACCAGGACCTGCGGTTTCCCAGGATTGCCTTCTTCAGCACCCGCCTGATTGAGGCCGGGGAGCAGCTGGGGTAGGTGCCGCCGTCCCCAGGGGCCGGCTAAGTTTGGGGACCTTCTAGGTGCGGACGTGGGCTGCTGCTCACAGGCTTATTCTCCGTGGTTCTCTGTGTTTCCACAACTCTGAGCCGGGACAGACGGCCCTGCTGGGGCAGGGTCGCCCCTGCCGCCAGGCAGTGTGGGGCCTGGACGCCGCCCTTAGCTCTGCTCTCTCCCCAGGTTTGACTACGGGGAGCGCTTCTGGGACATCAAAGGCAAGCTGTTCGGCTGCCGGTGCGGCTCCCCCAAGTGCCGACACTCCAGCACAGCCCTGGCGCAGCGGCAGGCCAGCGCCACCCAGGAGGGCCAGGAGAACGGCCTGCCCGACACCAGCTCCTCCACCGCTGACCCCCTCTGAGCGGCAGCCGGCGTGGGGCACCGGGCGTCGGTGTTGTGCACACTGCGGTCAGAGAGGAAGGAGAAGTGGATGCCTGAAGGCCCCGACCTGGGGCTGCAGGGCTGCAAGGCCCCAGCGTGGTGGCCCGTGGGCCGGGGGCGGGCGCTCGGGAACACTCTGGGATTCCGCGCTGGCGTGACCTTGTGAGTTTCTGATGATGGTTTTGTCGTTTCCACATTTCTCGTTCCCCCTCTACTCCCCTGGTTCCCGTTCCACTGTGGGGCTTGTTGGCCAAGTCCTGTGGGCCCAGATCCCCGCGTGGCACCTGCCGAAGGCACAGTCAGCCACGAGCTGCTCCGTGGACCCGCCTGCCCGAGGCCTGCGTGGCAGGTGCCGTCCCCACCTCGACCTGGGAGAGGTCCAGGGCGAGCCGTCACTGACTTTGGAGAAAATGTGGGTTTGCTTTTTAAAGAAGTTCTATATCTAGTCCTATATATCAGACCTCTAATGCATTTCTTTCCGAGGAAGCGGTTTGTCGGGTGCAGGAGGGCCACGGCCCCCAGAGGACCCCGCACCAGCCCCGCCGGCTCAGCGACGCTGGCGCCTTTTGTTGATTTTTAAACCACATGCTATGATGATGAATAAACTGATTTATTTTCTACCATTATTGAACATTAGGACAAATAAAAAACACAAAACACAGACAACGGTGCTGATTCTGGTGTGGTTTCTACTCACCATGTGAAAATAAACTATCAACTGTATAAAGAGAACAAAGTGATTTTAGAATAAAATGCAGGAAAAAACTTTTTTTAAAATGTTAGTCTTGTCGTGGAATAAATTTGCCGTCACCTTTTGTGTGAGGGCCCGCCAGGTCATCTACTTTTCTAAACACTGTAATTAGTGCAGTGGCGGTGGGGTTTTTGTGCGGCTCTTCTAAAACACTCATGATGCAGTCATGTTTATTTTTTTCTGTTAAAATGTTTTTGACAGTTTTAAGAGCAGTCTTTTGGCTCAGACCATTTCTTGTTCTGTTTTCAATGAAATCAATAAAAAAAAAGAAGTACTTTAAATGAGGTTTTTCTTATGGCATCGTGTCACCTGGTTTCTGCAAAACACCTGCACTGCCCGTGGGGGCGCTCTAGAGTTCTTGCGCGGCCAGGCGGAGCCCCTCCAATGGACCTCGAAGAGCACACCCCATGCCCGCACCCCAAAGGAAGACATTTCTGTGCGGGTCGCTCTGTGCGTGAGTGTGTGCGCGTGTGTTTACGTACAACCAGCACCAGGCATGGAGGCCCAGGTTGCGTTCTGTTCCGGAGGAACAGAACATTGTCTTAGAGCAGCCCCAGGTGAGTCCCCAGAAGTGTGGATCAGATCTGCTTTTGAACGTGGTGAGGCTGGAGGACTTTCTTCCCGCTGCAGGAACCTGCTAGTCCCAAACGCACGGGCTCTGTGTTCTGTGCAGGGCTGGGCTCCCTCACCGGGTGCCTGTAAGCTTGAGAAGAAACAGCTGAATGCTTGTCTCCTTTACACACACAACTCACTCACTCAGACACGTTCAGACGTTTATCTGAAACGTAGCAGCTCTCTGTGCTTTGTAAACAGCCCAGGCAGGATGCCCTTCCCCCCACCCCGCCATCCCCCAGGCCCTTGGAAAGGGGACTGCAGGCCTGGGTGTGCGGGAGTGTCTGTGACCCAGTGGGACAGAGGTGGGGCTGATCTTACACAAGGTTGATGCCCCTTCCTCCAGGTCGTCTCTGGTTTGGCCTCTGGGTAGTGCCTTAGGGCCAGGGCTGTGCTGGGGCAGCGGACACCTAGGAGGCGGCGTCCCAGAGGCAGTGGGTAGGGTGGCAGGGGGTCCATGTAGAGCTTGGGTTTCAGGCCTTGTGGAACCCACCAGCCCTATGTGCCCCTGCCCCCAGCACCCTTCCTTGGGTTCTGAGCTCATTACCTTGCAGGCACCCAGTGGTGCACCGGGCCGAGTGCTAGGTGTGCGTGCAACTCTCTGTTAAACTGGGACTCAGTCCAGTTGGAAACTTGAAAACTTCTGCTGTGTTAGGGCGGCCTGTGGGGTAAGTGAACCGCTCCGCCCCCCAACACCACAGCGAGTTGCGGGGCCTCTGAAACAAGCCCCCACAGGCTCTGGCTTTGAGGAGCCCGATGTCCGTGCGCCCGGCTGCTGGGTCTCATCTGGTCCAGGAGGGCTCCACAGTGACCACCTCAGCTCCAGCTGTTGATGTCCCTGCCCCAGCCCTGCGGCTGGGGCGGGGGAGGGGCCTGTGCTCCAGCAGGGCACAGACTGCAGGGGTGGATGTAGGCCTCGCTCAGAGGTGGGGTGGGTGGGTGAGAGGCCCCCTCTGAGGCCTCCCTGCTGGGGCAGCTGGAAGTGACCACAGTCACCCCGGCTGCTGCTCTCATTGCCAGACACAAACCGGCACATGAGAACTGGAGAGAAACCGGGGAACCCACCAGCAGTGCCCCTTCTTGGCCTCCCCTCACTTGTGTGGACGTTTGTCCTGTTTGTGGCCTGTGAGTGACTGCAGTTGTGTCCTCACTGATGGCACATGGACTTTTGCAGTCTCCACTAACAACAGCGGCGCCAGGAGGAAGAGTACCGTGCGCCTTCCTTGTGCGGCCATTGTCTTAGAAAAGGGGTCAAAGGGCATTCCACAGCAGACATTGTGGAAGCGAGCCCCGAAAACCCGCCCCTAAAATGTTTGCCAGCCTTTACTTCCACCAACAGGGTACGTTTCCCAGGCCTCACACACCCCGCGGTCACGCTCCCTGCTGGCTCCCGGCAGCCAGAGCCAACGACACCTCCGCACGGTAGAGCTCACACCGACCAGCCGGTCTGCAGCACAGGCGGCCTCTCCCCTCACGTGGCTCGGTGCAAGATCTCGTTGTGCTCGTGTTTCCCTTACTGGTTTGTATGCTCTGTCTATGCACTGTAGCTTTGTACCCATACTGAATTTAAGCTTTTTATGTGCTGAAATCTGACCGTCACTTCTGATTATGCACTCTATCTAGAATATCCTCCTCTGCTTCCAAATTATAGAAATATTCTTTAGCACTTTTTCTGGTGTTTTATTTTTCAGTTCAGCTCTTGAATCTAGGTGGGATTTATTTGGTGTCGGGGTGAAATAACTATATTTAATATTTTAAAAATTGGGGTATGGTTTATATATGGTGAAGTGCATAGGTTTTATGTGTATAACTCAGTAAATTTTGACAGACACCTTTGCCCATGTAACCCGTTCCTTAAATAGGGCATTCCCATCTGTCACCGGGAAGTTTCTTTCTGTTCTTCCCGGATGGTTTCTGTCCCCAAGAGGCATCTCCTGTTCAGATTTCTCTCAGCAGAGACGAGGTTTTTCCTTCGGTGGAACTTCATGCAGACAGGGTGTCCGTGAATCAGTCTGTCTCCCTGCTGCCCTTGCTCCGTTTTTGTTGTTGTTGGCTCGTGTCAGTTGATTGTTGGAATTACCCAGCCCCCACTGCATGAACATTAGCGTCTCTGGTCTGGGGCTGTCATCCATCAGGCGTCTGCAAGCACTTGGCCGCGGTCAGTTGGGAGCGTTGAGTTTGTCCGTCGGGGGGGGGGGGTACGTCTCGGGTGCGGGTTCGCCGTGGCCGTGCCACTCCGCACAGGCCTGTGTGAGAGCGCTTCCTGTCTTTGATTTCGCCCGCTCTGGTGGGCGCAGGGTGGTGTCATGGCTTGTATCTGTGTTCCTGGTGACTGTGGCCGAGCCCGTTTCGGATCCGTGCTGTCCATGTGTAGATCTTCGTTTGCAAGGTACGCGGCCTTTTGCATATTTCTTAGTTGGACTCTTTCCGCTGGGAGCCAGGAGCTGTTTGCAGATTATAGACCGAGTCCTCAGCAGAGGGATGTATTTTGGTGTTTTCGCTCGGTCTGTTACTTTGTGTTCCTTTTCCTAAGAACAAAAGTTTACAATTTTGGGCAAGTCCAATGTCTCTTTTCTGGGTGGGGAAGTGGGATGTTCTCCATCCCACTCGAAGGTTGGGAAGATCATCTGGCGTTCTCTTCTAAAGCATTATGGCTTCAGATGTATTTTGGTGTGTGACCCATCTTCAGCAAGTGCTTGCGGGAAGAAGGAGGTAGCGATCGAGCTACATTCCTGTCTGATGTGGGCCTCCAGCCCTTCTGCCCTTACCTGATTGTTTAGAAGATTGGGAGTCTCCCACTCAAACGCTTTGGCCCCTTTGTAGACCGTTAATTGATGTGCACCCGTGGACTTCATTTAGGAACCATTCTGTTGCATTGAGTATTTGCATGTCTGTTTTTATTACTATAGCTTTGAGTATCACAATCACAAGTGGTGTAAATGTTCCAAGTCGTTCTTATTCTTTTATTGTTTTTTAAAGGTTTTATTTATTTATTTATTTATTTATTTACTTATTTATTTATTTATCTGACAGAGATCACAAGTAGGCAGAGAGGCAGGCAGAGAGAGAGGGAGAAGCAGTCTCCCTGCTGAGCAGAGAGCCGGACTCGGACTCGGGGCTTAATCCTAGGACCCTGAGATCATGACCTGTGCCGAAAGCAGAGGCTTAACCCACTGAGCCACCCAGGTGCCCCCAAATCGTTTTTATTCTTAAAGATGATTTCTTTAGCTCTTTTAGCTACCCTGGGACCTCTGTATTGTTTTTTTAAGATTTTTTATTCGTTTAAGAGAATGAGCAAGAGCATGGGGAGGGGGGAGGGGCAAGGGCAGGTGAGGAGCAGAATCCCTGCTGAGCAGGGAGTCCCAGTTCAGGACCCCAGCCAGAAAGCAGACGCTCACCTGTGAGCCACCCAGGCACCCAAGGGCCTTTGTATATATATATATTTTTTTTTAACAGAGATCACAAGTAGGCAGAGAGGCAGGCAGAGAGAGGGCAAAGCAGGCTCCCCACTGAGCAGAGAGCCCCATGTGGGGCCTGATCCCAGGACCCTGAGATCACGACCCGAGCTGAAGGCGGAGGCTTTAACCTACTGAGCCACCCAGGCGCCCTGGGCCTTTGTATTTTTATATGTTTTAGAAAGAGCATATACATACTTAACAACAACAAAAAGCTGGTGGGATTTTTTTTTTAACTTTTTAAAATCAACTTTGTTGAAATGTAATTCACATATCATAAAATGCTCTCATTTTAAGGGATCCATGATTTTTGATGAATGTCTGTGCCCCTATAATTACCACCACAATCAAAGTGTAAAGAACACCTTCATTTCCCCCAAAACTTCCCGTTGCCTCTCTGAAGTCTACCCCACCCTGCTCTGGTCCTATTCTAGAATTTCCTATAGTTGCAACCCTACCGTGTGCACTTTGCTACCTCACAATTTAAAAATATATGTTAAGCCAAAGACGCCAGGTAGACTCTCACACGTACAGGAGAGCTGCAGGACAAAGCCTTGCTTCTCTGAACAGGGTGGGATCACCGGCTCGACCCTCCATCGTCCCTGCAAGGATGTTCTCCTGTGTGACCACAGCGGATTGTGCGGCTCTGCTCCCGTAGACCCAGTGCGGCGTTTGCCTTCATCTAGCCCCGCTCACTGGAGCCTGTGGGTCCAGCCTGGCTTTCTGTTCCATTCAGCGGTCCTGTCTTCAGTCATCTTCAAGGCGGAATAGTTAAGTCTCCCTGGTTTTCATGTTCGTGTGTAGAATGCCCTTGGTTTGGACTTGCCCGTGTCCTCTGGATTTGAGGA